TCTACTGTAGATGTGTACACTGTACTACTAAAGACAGGGGGATAGGAAAGATACAGAGAGTGAGAGAGAGAGAGAGAGATAAAGAAAGAGAGAGAAAACGACAAGAAGATGGAGAAGAAGCTCCAATAAAGCAAATAAACCCCAATTCACCATCAGTTGACATCTACCAAAGACATCAGTCAGAACTCATCCCTGTAAACTCAGTCAATTCAGGGTTGGTGATTTTATTCAAGTACAGGAGCAAGGGGGGGGGGATGATTTACCAATAAAGCACCTTCCATTACCCTTCTTATCTGTGATTGGCCCAGCGTGCCATCAAAAGTAACGAGAAGCAGCGTGAGTAGGCCAATCGGATTATCCAGTCATGAGGATTAATGGGCCACCACCTGGGGTAGATTAACCGGCTGTCACAGACACTCTAGTGATGCTCGCCTCATTCTCCCTAATCTCTATCCCAAATCTGATGCCCCTCCGTCCACATCGCGTCACATCTCGTTCACTTTAATGGTCGACTTTCAATGAACCGTTTATTAACCCTGCCAATGCCGCAGGCTGGAACACCATGTACAATGTCCATGGCATTATAGGGCTAGTGGGATAGTAAGACGGTCAAAAGGTAGATTCTGCGATTACATTGCAGTTTATCCTCAAGAACATCTTGAGATCTCATTTTATTCCGTAACATCTTTTCAAGATAAACTTTCAGGAACATCTTATCTTGCCTTCCTGATCGAAAGTCGCTTTTTTCTATGAGTCACTTTCTAAAATTTCATCTTTCATTGAGATCTGTAACTATCCTCACATGCTGCACATATTTTGCATCAATCTGTACAAAAACAAAATCACTTAGGAAAAGTTTGACAGCCTCAGAGTTGAAGTTTCAATCTCCAATGTGTTTTTGCTCACATCAAAACAACAATTTAAACTTACTTTTCTACGGCCAGATGTATTTATAGCAAGTCAATACTTACATACTACAATTATTTTCTTTTCCCAAACCACTTTATGATAACGCACTCCATAAATCAACGAATGGTGGAACTAAACTCATTTGTTTTTGTCATTCAGAGGTGAGAAAATTATACTCATCATGGCAGTGTTTGCTTTTTAATGGCTGAGGTACAATATGGCGTATAGTCGGTATGCTGTTTCTCACTGATCTGCCCTTTAGCTCATAATCTGCAGTAAACATTTGCTTAGTAATCTTCTCTGCAAACAGCGGAGAGCATTGGTATAATGTTAAATGTAAACAATCATGAAAACTATGTCAATCATCTATATTGGACTAAAATAAACTGATTACATGGATTATACACTGATATTGAAGAAAAAAATGGGAGCTTCATCTCCCCAAATAGACATAAAAGATAATATGTATAATGAAAGTGTAATTGACTGCTATATCCCCGGACACATTAATGTCACCAATAATTGGATGTAATGATGTAATCAATATCATAGCAGATCACTTGAAAAGAATTTAATTCCATTTTCATTCTAAGTACCTGGTGCTACCTGAGATTGATATAAGTACGTTGAACTCGATCTTGACAAGAATCTAATGAAGAATCAAAGGAATGACTTCAAATGGCGCTTATATCATTTTTTATTTGGCCCGATATGCTCCTTCTCACGGTCATCCCCTTCCATTGGAGAGCACTATATCATGGTTTAAATTGACAGTTAACACTTGCACACATGAGTGTAAATGTCTGGAAAGATGTTGAGAGAGTGATGAAAAAAGCAGGCAGTCATCGCCACGACAACCCCAAGATGCTCGGCAGAATGAGGTGCCCTTGTACTTGCCACCTGACGTCAAATCTCACAAATTACTCGGCTGCGAGCGGAAATTGTCTTGTTGAAAGACACCTCGCGTAATTCAACGCTTGGCTCCCTTGATGAGACCATGTTAAGACAATCGAACACAGACAAGCGCTACTGCAACTTAGTCTCACCTTTCAGACTCCATCATCATCCTGTACAATCTTTGCTGACCATCGCTATCCTATCATGCTGTATCAATTCCTCTGTTCGTTTTGCTCATTTGTGCGAGGAGATATGTTCATGTACAATTATTTTCTGCATGTTAAACGGATGTGACGTAATGGCAGAGTTTCAACATTCAGCGCAAAATCATCGGCGGTCTACTTCATCTCGTGAAATAAAATCTTACCACGCATTGCAAAAGACAACTATTTTTTTTTCTTTGGTCAATGTTTTTCATACTTATGTGAAATTGACAGCATGATGTCCTAGTCTCTTTGCCCTTGGGTTTTTCCCTGTATAGTGTAACACTTTGCATAAACATGGATATCATTTTACACTGATGTCTGCCATCAGTGGAAAAGAGAGAACTTCTTGCAAGGAAGGAAAAATCATGTCATTTTGACTGCAATGCAAAACCACAATCATTTGAATGATCTATACAAAGCAGTGTGTGATGTTTCAAATTGGTTTTGTTCCACGTTTTGCTCTTAAAGTGGTGAATACAAGAAATTTCATCACTGATGTAAAATAAAATATATCATTAAAGATTTAAGCTGAAGTTAGAATCCTTTTGTCTTTTGTAAAATGTTTTTGACTTTTTTTTGGATATATCTTTAATGGAAATTACTCTCAAGATGCATGCACTTATTTTCCATTTAATTAAAGAAAAAAAATAAATATTCAGTCAAAACTGACAAAAGTTCATTTAAAATTCTTCACCAAACAGCACAAACATGTACTACCGGTAGGTCTTTTTTATGCACAACAAAGAGAAACCCACAAAAAACATTTCAAATTGTGCTCATGTGTAAAACAGATTGATAAACAATGATAATTTGTTTATCATTGCTTGGCAGGGACATACTTAGAGGTATCATAATCTGCCTCGATAAGCTTAAACCACTTAAATTAATAAAAGTTATGTTCCGATGTAACATGTGCAAAACTGGGCAAAAATTATGAAATCACCCAGACAATGCATTGCATTCATAAGGAGGAATCTATATTACCATTTCCATTTAAAACAAAGGCCTTCAAATTCTAGGAGGGAGATGGTTTCATTTTAGTGAACAAACAGAGATTTTTTTTCAGGACAAACTGATTTGAGAGTCTGACCACCTACACTGCATGGATATCCAGTGAACTATTTAGAATACCAATGACCTATAAATAAGCTTGAAATCTGGTAATGGATCTACTCTAGAACAAACAACTTTAGAAAACATCACATACATTGAAAGGCAACATGTCTCTCTCTCTCTCTCTCTCTCTCTCTCTCTCTCTCTTTCTTTCTCTCTCTCTCCCTCCCTCTCTCTCTCTATCTCTCTCTCTGTCTCTCTCTCCATCCTCACTCTCAATTAATTTAAAAAAAAAAGACATTTCCCCTAATATTTGTTTCAAAGATTTCATGTACCTGTACTCTTGAACATTTGGTATTCATTTAAAGGAATCTGTAAAAATTTCATTTTCAGTCATTATAGAAACTTGCAAATTATCTTCAGAGAGCACAATCATTTAATTTACATTTGCATCAGTTAAGTAAGTAAGTTAAAACTGTGGCAGTTGAGAAAGCACTCCTTCTGGATTTAGTGAATTCCATTTAATCATAAAAAAGGTATGAAAGTCAAATAAAAATTCAAAAAATGATTTAAAAAACAGGGGAAATTGACAAGCAGCAAATTGTATACAAACAGACAGAAGTTATATTTCCAAGATAATGTCTTAATTTGTAGACTACAATGCCTCTCTGCTTTGTTAGAAGTGCTTTGTAAAACTGGAGCATGACAAAATAGAAATCTGCTAAAGTGCATCTCAATTCCCTGGTTACTCCTTCACTGGACATGAAGAGACATGAATTTTGGGTCACAGAAAATGATCTCATTAAAAAGGGAGAAAATTGAGTCAAAACACATACAATTAGGAGGGGGAAGAGAGAGAAAGGAACCTAAGAGACTATTTGAAGTCGATTTGAAAAGAAGCTCTTTACTCTGACAGAGAGCGATCCTCATTCACAATGAACATGCCTTTCAACCTGAATTCTATCATATCTGGGGAATAAATTAATAAAAAATGGAATACATTTCTAGAATAAGCACCCAATCCAAAAGCGTATTGCCCCATCTTCTGTGGTAGGGACAAACTGTGAAATAAAAAAAAAACTTAAAGAAGTGACTCTTTTAGGATTACTGTAGCATTCTTTCTTAATATAAGAATATCAAAAGGTCTGGTGGAAGAAAGCTTCAGTTAGTTTGCCCTTTCCCATTGTTCATCTTAAAAGTCGGGTGAAATCCAAATATAAGTAGATTCCTGTTGATGTGCAGGGCTGCATGCAACTGAGTTTTTGTTTTTGACACAAATACATAGATTGCATAGATTTTTAAATATCTTAAAAAATAATTTTAAAGCTCCACCCTAAAGAATGCTCAAGATCTCTCATTCATCTTGTGACATCATCAGTCAATCATTAGTGAGCTAAAAAGAGACATTGGTATGTAACTTCTCCCAGCTCAGCACATGCTCACAAAAGAATTGCATTCTTTCATACAATACCTCCACATTACCTTTCTTTTCCTGGTGATGCTACAGCACCTCTGGCATAGCAACTCCTATGTTGGTATTGTATGGTCTATTGTGAACAGGTGGCCAGCTCTGGTAAAGCTGCATACCACTGTATCTTGTTAGCTCACTAATGATTGACAGATGATGTCACAAAGATGAATGAGATCTGGAGCAATTTTATTTTAGGGGGAGCTATATATATATATATATATATATATATATCTCTTACATTGGGCTCAACAATAACAGACACCCAGGACACATGGGCATCCAAAATCTTAGTCCAGACCCCCACAATTTCGAAAGAATGTATACAGCCTCAATTCGGGATCCCCTTCCAAAAAAGTAAGAATGAAGCCCAATTTGAGATAACTGCATACACCAATATGTATTTAAATAATGAAAAAAAAAAGAAAAATAGGAAGACATAGATAGGTTTTAATATTTATACTCACAACTGTAAGCAGACTGTATCCTGATCTTGTAAGCAGATTACCAATGTCTTGCATACCAGTAAATGGTGATATATGAGGGGCAAATCCCTGTAAAATATATTCAAAAAGTGACAACATTTAAAATTGTAATTAAAAAGGCATAAAAAACAATATACTTTTTGATGACCAAATTACAAGCCCTTTAAATAGAGCACAAAATTTAAATATTGTATAGTTTTTATATTGTGATTGAGTTTACATTTACACCAGTTCAATTGGTAAATGACTCTCATTTAATGTTAATGTGATATAAATGCAATAAAATGCATTGTATTTAAGCTAACATGTATTAATTTTTCTCCCATATTAGATCACTAAAATATATTTCTCTTAAAGTAAACTGATACATGCAAAGTGAATTACAGCATAAAGGCATATATCTTCTAAGCTTCCACACAGCAGTGTAATTTGAAATAAAGACTAGTCCTGAGCATGCACATTTTTTAATTAGATTTGACTTTTAAACTGTTACAAAAAAAAATTGAATATAGAGGGAAGCTTACCCCTTCTCTCTCTAGTTCAGCTAGCTGCAATGAACATCGGAGCTCGAAGAGTGTATCCCCACCAAACACAGCTCCAATGAACGCTCCATCTTTCTTCAATGCTGTGTGAATCTGTTGAGGAAGAGAAATATGGGGGAGGGGGTGGAGAAGGGTAGGAAGATACAGAGATATGTAAAGAGAAGGTGAGAAGGAGAGTAGAAAGACATAAATATACAGAGACATAAATATACAGAGACAAAGGGAAAGGGTAACATAGAAGAAGAGAAAGAAAGAAAGAGAGAGAGAGAGGGGGGAGAGAGAGAGAGGGGGAGAGAGAGGGAGGGATAAAGAGAGGGGTAGATAAAGGGAAAGACAAAGGGAGGATTAGTGAAAGAAAAAAGAAGGGGTTAGACACAAAATTAAAAGAAAACAGATAGAAAGAGTTTGGAGAAATAGATAGGTGGATAGAGAATGATAAGAAGGGTGGGAAAGAGAAAGAGAATAGACGAAGAAGCGGATCATGAAAAGAATCGAAATAAAGAGAAAAATAAGAAGAGAAAGGAAATGTGAGAATTGAGGGGGAGATGAAAGAAGTGGAAAGAGAAAGCAAGAGAAAGGAAAAACATTATTCACAAAATGAAAACAACTTTCCCAAGGGATTCACCAGATATCATTTTTAGAAATTCAGAGTACCGGTAAACCATACATATTTACTTCTCACATTGTTATTGATGCCTCCTCTTCTGCCTGTCCTTGGGGGCATATTTCAAGTTTGACAAGATTGGCAGTATTATAGATCTTCAAGATAGATCCTTCACATCGAGCCCATGTTTCAAATGCTGTATAGTCTTTTATCATGGTCAAGTGTACAGTCATTAATGTACAAAACCTACATAACAGTTGAAAATTAGGTCACAGCGGCACAGGTAAAGTGGGTCGCATCCCCAATTTTTTTTCTTCTTCTCAACATCAATCAGATTAAGGCATCTATTTGTTTCTCCAGGCAAACTTCACTCCGAAGAAATTTCATATTGTACACGACAAATAACTCAATTTTCCAGGTTGATGGTGTCAAACTATTGTAATGCAAAAACAAAAGGAGGACAATAAGTGAGAATTGTACCAATGTCTTCTTTCAACCAATGTTCTTCATTATTCATCTTGTTACAAATCCATGGTGATACAGAAAACTTCTCTTTTTTTGTCCATGAAACTCTAAGATGCATGAAGCTGTAGTGCATTTAAAAAAAAAAATGGCACTGCAAGGAATGAGCTATACGACAAAGCCACCTAAGTTAAGGTAGGGTACAGACAAGCTGTACAAGTAATGGATGGGGATTTAATGTGTTGACTTAGCATTTTGCTAATGACCTGATCATTAAGCCTTTTCTCCTGGGTGATCTTATGATAGCTGGTCATTCATCTACCTCTAAGTAATGATCATTAGATGTAATGGTCATTTGGGGCATACTTTATAAGTAGACTGGCAATTACCCAGTAATAGTAATGTCTTGAAATATTTGAATGGAATCAATAAATTAAAAATAAAAACTGTTTTTCCAATAGTTTTTGTCCTGATTGAGGATCTGAGTAATGAAATGAAAGCTTGAAATCAAAATTCTGTGTGCCTTCTTGATGGGGGATTCTCTTCTTCTTCTTCTTCAAGATAATCTGCCTCCTTCAATTCTGATTTGGGGTACAGGCAAAAGTGGCTTCAAATTATAAGACTGGTCTGATGTTACTGCGAGCTGATTGGCTTTTCCTCATACAAAAAAACAACAAGATTTTACTATTCATAGGATGATTAAGAACCTTGATCATAAAGATTTTGCATGGTTGAATGAAAGCTCGTATCACACGACGCAATCGGATCAAAAGTCTGATTATCTAGCCTGTAGTGGGCTTAAGCGAAGAGTTTGTGGTTTAAAGCCATCCTGGTCGTGTGATATATTTGACCCATTTAAAACCACGGCTCTGATTTCCAACAGGAGAATTGAAGTGATGGATCGATCCACCTCGGATCCTAATGAAGCTGTACGGTCACTCTGCCGATGATGACCGCTGCTTTATGGGACACAAGGTGACTAGGTACACTTGAGCCACTGGAGTACTGCACAAAGAACAACTTGGTTGTTTAGAGTCAGAAAGGCATTACCGGTAAATCTTTTACGCTAACAGAGAGTTAATGCCGTTCTCGCCCTGAATAGTCTTTATTGAAGAGGATAGCCCTAAATCTTAGAATCTTAGAATCTTTGAAGGAATCACAGATGACTCTCTTTCAAGGGATTCTCCCATCTCAACAGAATATTGACAATGTATGAATTCCAGATACTAGTTATTTTGATTATAATTTGATTTATAATTATATAACTAAACAGACTTTGTGCAGCACAAGGTGAAATATTTTCTCTAATGCATGTATCCCCACCCCCCCCCCCCCCCTGAGTAATGTTTTACTTTTGAATACTGAGGTGACTATGGCCATTTGAAAGGCAGTATGTAAGTTCTAAAGCCAGGTTTTTAATTCTCTCATTTAATGGCTTGTAAAAAAAAAAAATTACTCTCTGCTGAGGTCAAGTGAGAGAGAATTTTGGTAACCTCAGTGCAATGAAGGCTACAGGAAGAAAAGTATATAGAAGATGGTACACAAAACATGGGTGCAAAATTATGAAAGTTATAACATGATTTGAACCCCTGCAGTACGCGGAAAACCATCTGTTGACTACAACCCCATTTAAAATGTGAGACATAGTCTCTTGTGAGCCAAAAGGGCAATAAATCAGTGTAAAATTATATGAACTAATGTCCATCCTGCTCTAAGCAATCGATATGTAACCATTTGCATAAAATCTGCTTCAAAAGGTCCAATAGGATAATGGTCAACAATGAATATCTAATTTATCTCAGCCAGTTCTCATATTCCCTAAATGGAAAAGTGATCTAACACAAAAATCTAAGATATGCAGCCGTTGTAGATCTTATAAGATTCTTTCAAGTACAGTTTATTTTTGCAGATCTCTGTAGGTACAACCACAAGGACACACCAGTACACTTTGCACAAAGTATCAACTCAAATCGTAGTAAATCCACCCTCAAATCATCAATTTCTTTGCAACCGCTGATCATCCTATAAACACGTTCTAGGCTTGTCTTACACCCTTGATTGTCCAGGAAAGCCATCAAATCATGTATTGGCTTTCAAAGGCAACATCCGACACCACTTTCATTACAACCTAAGCTCGTGGGTTGGATAAACTGGCGGTCCAAATCACAACTTACTCTCTTTTTTTGTTACTTAATAACTGACCACATTCTAGATTTGGGGTGGAGGATCGCATGAGGAGGAGGAGGAGGACAACCAACAAGGATTGTTTTGATTCTTCCTTGACCTACATCCTATTCCCTTGGTAACGTGCTGACAGAATACGGAATTAAAATGCAGTTCACACTATCATTAATTTGCAAGAATTTCATTTTTATGTTGTGCTCGCATAACGTAGGAGCATGAAGTTAAAAAACCAAAATCAAGCTCCATAATTGCAAATGGTAATAGCCAAATATTACATCAACCATTACAATATTACCATTAAATTTGCAAGTTCTATTCAAGAATTAATTTTGTTTCTAAATGAAAATTAGCTTTTCCTTTGTCCAAAATGTTACATGCAATCATTTTGATAGCTTGAACTGCCTACTACATCAGGGAAAATTTTCAGCAGGAATACAAAATACCCCAAAAAAATTATTTTTTTTGCAATCTTTTTAACAAACAGAATTCCCCCTGGGTTTTATTAAATGTGAATAAGTGAGAGTTATTTCATACATGTATAAATTATTATGAACATTACAGCACATAAGTACAGTAACATTCCTTTACCAGAAGTTCTATGAATTAATAAATATAAACACAGGGGTTTATGCACATCAAAGAGAGAGAGAGAGAGAGAGAGAGAGGGGGTGCATTCACACAACTCCACTGCTTGATGTACCAATCAATGATGGTGTGGCCTGAGAGCTTCTCAAGAACTATTCAGGATTTGAATCGCCTTTCTATGAATGGTGTGGAACCCCCCAAGATGGCCCAGGACAACAAAACGTAAGATAGCAAGTGGACAATTAAAACAAAAAAAGGGGGGAGGGGGAGGAAAAGCAATCTACAAATAAGAGTCAGGTTTTGTGAAGATTAATAATCCCTGAAGAATAGCATAATTAGAGAGTGGCCGACTTCTTGTCTGGAAAGATTTAGTAGCATTTGGGGGTCAGTTGGCTTAGAAATGATTCCTAGGGAATTCAAATAAAGGAAATATATTTCTTAGTTTCACAAATATCTTTCAACTCTTTATGTGCCACACAAATAATTTCCCTGTGACATTATTTCCATCATGGGATATAAATACCAAAGGCTTCAAGATTACTTTGCTGTTTCAAGAACAATATTAATCAATGCTGGTGTTTGTAAGGGTTGTCATGGACCTAATCAAAATTGGAATTTGGTAATTTGTAAAGCAACCGTATTTCACAACGCAATCCTTCTGTCAACTGACCAGTGCCTTTTGTGTTGTGCAAAAATGCACAAGTGGCAAAGGAGCAACTGTGCAGAAAGGTGCAGAAAGGTGAAGAAAGCAACCAAAGAATTAAGAGAAGAATAAAACAAGACTAAAAGCAGTGTACTCAAAAGGAATATGTTGTGAAAATGGTTACAGAGGAATAAATACATTACAAATATCCCATCTGACAAACTAGAGAGAGGTGATTATGAAGAAAAGAAATTCTCAAGAAAATATCCTTTATACTTATCCACTATAAAATATTTGGGAGTGCACATCAAAGGAGAATAATGGAGGGAAACTTAATTGTACAGTTAACAACTAAATTATTCATACCCCTTCTAAATTTGATGTATTTTGTAACTCAAGAATGAAAAGTAGAGTGGTTGTATATGGGCCTGTATTGAATGCTTTTAGATGTAAGCTTTTTTTCATTTAAAGCAAACTGTGCTTCTGTATTTTGTGTCTAATAGCAAAACAAATAAATGAGTATTCATATGACCTTTCATGCACATACTAGGTACTTTATAAAAAGCCTACTTGCCACTGATTTAGTTCACACACAAAATAATGCAGCAGTAGAACACAGCAGTTTACAACAAAATATATGGACGAGCCCTTACCACCTTAGGTATATTGGTGGTTTATCTACACTCATATACAGAGAAAATAATGATACAAAACAAGAAAAAGAGAATGCAGGAGTGTCTTTGAATATCATGATCTTTCAGTCACATCATGAACTTAGGTTGTGCTTTTGCAGGTTAGGGTTGTGTTTAGCCTTTACACGTAAAGAAAAAAGATCTTATGAGCTTTGGTAAAATATTCATTGCCTGTCCTCCCCCACCATAACGATAACGTTATTACCATGACTGTGGCAATTTGTTAGAAAGAAAACAGGGTTCATAAGTCAAGAAGTCAACATCATGTCCCTGTACACAAAGCATCTTCTCTCCTCCCCCATAGACCAAAGATGCTAATTGGCGAATGGTTGTCAAGAGAGGGCTCTAAACGTCTTCTTCCGAATAGAGATGAAGGAGTTGATTGACACGTATACCTACAAAGAGCTTTTGCCCGCGGCACAAGTGACTACTAATATAGGGCACACATGAAAGTTGGAAATTAGGTGACCATAATTAATTCTCCTGTGTGAAATTTGTTTTATTGACCCTAAAATTTGCCTGGCAGCCTAACAGTAATTTCTTCCCCATTCTTTTTGGCTTTGAGAAAAAGGATGCACTTACTTATTTCTCGCAAGGGAAATAAAGATGATTTGCGTCTCCTCCCTCCTTCCCACTGTTTTAGTTTGTGTTTTTCCCATCGCAAAGCCATTTACATTATGATTAGCTTTAGCAAACTAATTCAATTTGTATTTTAGTCAAGGATTAATAAAAAGAATTCCTACAAATGGATGATTTGAAACTAAACTGTTTTCAATTGATTCAAAATCACTTGCACATTTTCTTTAAAACATTAAAATACTACTCATTTTTTATGTTATTTTTTAAATTAATTTTCTTATGTCTTATCTTTCTTCAGATCCTTTTTAATGAATAATAGACGGTAACAAAATCCTGAGCAAACTACATTAACGTTCACATCCTACCAGGTACCCATTTAACACCAAGGTGGAGAGTGGCAAATGAAGATTGATATTTTCCCAAAGAATTTTAGTGCCAGGCTGGATAGCATATACCTCAAAACTAATAACTAGGCTTTAAAAAAAGATGGGTGCGCAAGGCTGCTATCATTTTCAACATTTCTTCTATATGACATTGTTAATGTGAATTTCATTTCATTTAATGTACAAATTACACTTGGCTTGGACAAGAGACTATAATAAGCACATTTCAATAGGCAATGGGTTTGAGAATTTTATCTCCCGATTGGCTGTCTGTTTAAAATGTTTGCAACCAAAGTCAACTCTAAAAGTAAATCCAGAGTGCCATGATTCATCTCATTCTAATTCCACATTAAGCCCATTTACGCTAGTTATTTTTAAATAACCATTTACACTAGTTACTGTTTGATAATTCTGATTTTTCTTGTGTGAGTCGTGCGTGTGCACCACCTGTTGCTAGTCTGCATGCGTTAGCACGGAAGCAAGAACAGTTACACGACCAAACACCGGGAAAATTCACCTGTGTTTTGAGAGCGAGCATTTACACTGCAAAAACTGGTGGAGTTTCGGCCAGCGTTTCTATAGTTACCTAGAAACATCTGACAGAACTCTGGAATGTGAGAAAAACCAACCACTTTTGCTTGCAGTGTAAATGCACCTTTTCTCTGTGAAAACATTTCTTGCTAACAGCAGGCAGGTTACTTTAATTCCCTCGCATCTCTGGGTAGATATCCATCATCCCCCGCACGATTACTGTCCAAACCTGCTCCAAACCTCACAGCTTAAAACACCCATTCATCATCAACGCCCAAGATAAATCGGGACTTGGGGGGCGCATGTAGGGCATTTCTAGATATAATTCATATGTTTGTACAAGATCAATCATTTTATTCCAAGACAAGGTACTCGGGGAGGAATTTGCATGATGGATGGCAAACCTTTTCCCATTTAGATGACCTGTTGCCATGACATATATGCACAAAATGATGCATACTTTTAAACACCTGAATATCTTCTTTCTTTTTGTTTTAATCTCTAACTCTCACCTTTTCCTTCCTTTTTTCATTCCTTGTGTTTCATTATTAAAAAATGTCATTCCCATATCAAATCTCCTGTTTCTTGAAATATCAAAGATTGCTACAATCTTCCTTCCATATCCCCTCTCACCCTCTTTATGTTGTTCTTCATTCTCTCCTCCACTGAGCTTCAAACTTTCCATCCTTACTTTGTCTCTTCTCTCCCATGGCAGCACCAGGACCGGCCAGCCGAGAGGGGGACAAGGCATCTTTGTGGATTTACATTTATAAAGGAGCTGAATGGGCATGGAAGCATAAATTGAGAGCAGAGAATTTGAAAGGGAAGGGGTAAATGCCCCCCCCCCCCTCTCATGAGGTGCCATAACTTATTCAGCACTTTTCTAAAAAATTAAGCCCCTCTTCTGATTTCCATTTACCCTTATCCTTTTCAAACTTTGCAATCCCCCCTCTCTCTCTCTCTCTCTCTCTGTATATATATATATATATTCCTTTGATAATCTGCAAGACTGCATGTCCTAGGGGTACTGCAGAAATCATATTTATTCCCTCACCCACTACTAATCACATTAGCCCAGTTTGTTTAAGACGCAATGCCTATGAAGCATGGATTCCGGTGAAGGATGCTGCCTGGACAGACATAAATATGACAGAAACAAACAAACAAGAGGCTGCCATTTACATCTGGAGCACCTGAGCTGTAACCTACTTTTACATCATTAGAAACACGTCCCCCAAGCCCCCCCCCCCCCCCCCAAAAAAAACCCTCCTTTCCTTTCCCTGTGCCTATTGTATGCATCAAAGAAATTCAAAAACATCAAAGAAAATCAAAAAAAGATAAAGAGATAGGGTGAAGGGTACAAGACTGAAAAGAAGACATGATCAATCCATAATTAAACCTGTGCTTCTCTGTTTCTCCTTCACATTTCATTCTCTAAATAGGAGAAGAAAAAAAACGTCTCCATGTGCAATTTCTCGGCGGCGTGAAGGAGAATGCACCATGGGGACTAATTGCATGAAAAGCAAAAACATAACAACCTGATCAAGTCTGGTTATAAAAGGCAGAATAAACATAGCCCGGCACAGTGTCCTTCATGCAAGCATTGAAAAAGATTGAGATACTCACCTGACGAAGAGTCCCTGGCAGGTCATTCACCCAATGCAAGCTGCAGAGAGAGAGAGAGAGAGAGGGAGAGGGAGAGAGACACAGAGAGAGAGAGAGAGAGCAAGAGAGAGAGAGAGAGAGGGGGGGGGGGGGAGGAAGAAGAGAAATGAACAAATAAACATCTCTCGTTCATCATTCAGTTGAGACCCCTGCAAAAATATTATCATAGAAGAGGGGCGTGGGTAAACTCTGCATCACATGGCTTGTCAAAGCATATCAACCTGTAGAATGCTGAGGGTGACAGGAATACAAGTGCTTTGTATCTCTCAAACTGAGCTAAAAGAGCAATTATCCAGTGGACCCTACTCAGCCAATGCTGTAACTTTTGCACAGACTCTCTTCTGAACAAATTCCACTGAACAGTGCTTTCTCTTGTCTATGAAGATGCAAAAATGTATACATGTGATAAAATGCTTTTAACACACACATGGAAATTGTGTTAACTTCTTCACTTTTTTTTTCTTCATTATGGATCAACTTGGTATTGATCAACTATTAAAGAGGCATGTTCCCCGTATTCCAGAGGGCGTTCAAAATACGTACCCGCTGGCGGACGGTGCTAGCTGCCTATTGACACCAACAGAATACGGCTCTTACGCAGATGGCATGTTCCGAATGCCCGGACAATACCGATTATCGCATACATGTGCCGAAGTAATGCCAATCGCAGTTCGGCTCTAAGATTCGGCTGCTGTTTCCGCCCACTTTCGTGACGTCGCGATCGTCAGCGATCAGCTGGCTTGGCGAAGGCAGGCCAGGCCGCGCGTACTTTGATTGACAGCTGTATGCAAATTAGAAGTCGATCTTCGGAACCAAGATGGCGATGACTAGAGCAGCGATAACTACACTGGCGGGAACGTGCCACTTTAAAATGCTCATGTACCATTTCTGATTAACTTTGGCACCTTTTATTTCATCTGTCACCTGGGAAACATACATAAATGTACAGTGTAAACATTTACATTGGATTCTGGGATGATTTTTTCTTTTTCTTATCATTACATTTATAAGAACACAACATTTTGTTTTAAGAGTTCATTCTTGTGACAGAGTACAGTGACAAATTGCATACATGAGGGTATTGCTATTTGACAATGCAAACAACCAATGTTGTTGTTGTTCCTTTTATCATGATCATGAAATTAATAATTTCAAGATATGTAAATGTCCCTTCAATTATCTCAAGGTATTGTTTTTAACATTACCAGAGCACTTTAATGTATGACCTATGCATTCTTTTGTGAAACTGTAAAACAGGGATCTCTGTAAAAAGAACCCATACTCAATCAATTGATATGCATTTAAAAAAAATCACAGTACGTCACAGTCTATTAAACAATGATCAAAAATTCCCCTCTTCAACTGCAGCAGATTAGTCCCACATTATTCATTCAACACATAAAACATATTTGTATCTTTACACAGGCACACCACATGATAAATTTTGATCGTAAATCTTTCTGACTTAATCTCGGCCTAATTCTACCCAATCCTCGAATTGTTGCTTCCATGCAAATTACTTTATCCTCATTTTATATAATTGCTTTTACCATTAAAAATGTTTATTAAAACATGAATACACAATCCCAAACAGGATTTGTAACAATTAATTAACCACCACAGTGTGGTCTTGCAATAAAGCAATTTGAAAGCGGCAATATCAGCATATAATGTCTGCTGAGAGCCAGAAGGGCATTAACTCATATATATTCACAAAAGTAGTTCACTGTTTTAAAGTTCCATAAGCATACACTATGAATATGACTGACAAAGAAAGCGGACAAAATATAGTTCCTCAGGTGGACAAAGGAACTTCCCTTCACTGCTATTATGTAAAAATGTGTAGAACAGGTGTCACATGCATATTCACTTTTAACATAATAGCAGTGAAGGGATGTTCCCTTGTCTACCTGAGAAACTGTATATTTTGTCCGCTTTCTTTGTCTGTCATGTTCATAGTGATAGTGCACACATGTCTTCATGCTCAGTGAAAAGGCAATAAATATAGGCTTTTGCATGCTTAATTTGTGCTTATTTTAGTTCAGGGGAGGTTAGAGCATGGGCTTAAGTTAACTCCTTTTTTGTGAATTTGACCCAAACAGTTTTACGCAAAGCTTATTATAAACACATTTTCTACCAAGTTGAGCACATGGTATTTTTTTTCTTTTTTAGATCGCAAATTCTAAAAAAATTGATTTAATTTCAAAGCTAGCCACACTCAATTATTCATGAAATATCAATATATAAAAGTAATGCCTGGCAAAGACATCAGAGATTGGGGAAAATCTAGAGCAGCTAATTATCGACTTGAAAACTCCTGGGTATCTTGCGGTCAATTCAAATTATGGACACATTCTGGTCAAGTATATTGAAAAAATTACTACATTATTATTGCTTGGCCTTGAAGTGTTGAAAATAATATTGGAACCTTTTTTCCTGTTGTTTTCTGCAACTAGGACAAATAAAAAACTTACATAATCTAATCATCTATCACATTGCCTTTTTATTAAAAAAAACAATAAAATGCTTACATTTTGGGGTAATATGTGTACCCATAACAATTGGGATTGCGTTTACATAATTGCTTCAGCACATCATTGATTTTATTTTTTTAAAGATGAAATATGAAAAGAAATTTAATCATTATAAAATTTAATTATAATAACATTACCACCCCCCCCCCCTCAACATCCAGCCTCCACCCCTAAAAGGATCAATCCTTATATCTTATGAACGTGTTTCTCCATTTATTCTTCCATATCTCTCAATCTCTCAATCTCTCTTTCATGCATTTTGTGATTTCCCTGTTTCATCTATCCTTTTTCTTTCTCTTTTCTATCTTTCTTTCTTCCTTTGTTCGTACATCTGCTCCTGTCTGTCTATCTGACTGCTTGTCTTCCTCTTCCTGTCTGCCCCCTTCCCCCTTTGAATTCCCTCCCTTCCCCTTCCTTGTTCCCCTCCTTTCCCCCTCCCTCCATTCCTCCTCTTCTCTCTATCTCTCTCTCTCTCTCTCTCTCTCTCTTGCTCTCTCTCTCTCTTTCTCTCTCCCTCTCCCTCCCAATCTCTTTTTACAGGTTTTTAATTTCTATATCACCTCCTATCTGCACATCTTGAGACTGTTAGTACCTAAGTATCTGTATTATTGCTGTGTATTCACATCTAGATTAGATCATGCTAATATTTTTCAATGCAAAGTACTAGAAACATGATATCAGTTGCCATTGTTGCTAATCAGTGATATAATATAGGTGCAGTACACTGAAGTTACCAATCTACAACATCAGCTGTGAATATACAAAATCTGAATTGAATTTTTCTCCTTATAAAGAGATGGTTGAGTTCTGGGAAGAGGTGAAACATAATTTGTGAGCGTTATCATCGTTAATATATGCAAGTGTGGAAGAACATCAGATAAAACATGTTCCGTACATGGCTCCCCAAATGCCTTCATGTTTTAAATATGGCCTGTAGCAGCATAAAAATCTGTCCCGATTTTTATGCCACATGTTTGTGTAGTCCCATATACATCTTTTTGTATACAGTGCCTGTAACTTTACCAAGACTGGGCCAAAATTTCTTATCAAATTTGATGATTCCAGAACCTTGCAGTACACACCAATACTTATATGCTAGATGATCAACCTTTTCTGATCGATTCCACACCGTTTCTTTCACAATGCAATCGCATGACCAGAAGTCAAATATATCTTTAAACTAATAACAATTACTAAAATGATAATTCTGTCATGACAAGAATGGTTTGCCAGTCATGGCTAATTTCTTATAGAAAATTGCCTAAAGTTACTATTTTTTTCTTCTTAAATGGCTGACCTGGAGCGGCGTGGTAACAGCTTGCAAATTGAGGAGAGTATGCATTTAACATGGGCCCCTAAGCATACCCTCTTAACTTTGTGTTGTAGGATAATTATAGAAATATGAGTCACACTATGCTTTATAGTTATTTCATTTAATAGGTGCAATTTAAAGGTGCTTACTGCCTCATAAGAGAAACAATGTTCTAATGTGTTGATTGATTCAAAACAATTACACAATTATTCAATCACAAGAAGAAGAAAAAGGGACTCTACATATTTTTCTGTTTTCTCTCTGAAATCTTAAGAAAAAAAATCATCTGCAAAATCAATTTGTGACATTCTATCCGTCCTTGCTATGTAGCTCTAGCATCAGGACACTGCATAATGCTACATGTATGTGATTATCTGCAGGTGAGTGTGTGGTAAGAATTTTGAGAGGAATTTTTCACCAGAATTGGAAGCCGAGTTCATGGTATCTTGCATTTCAAACCACATACTATCCCACTGTATGCCGTATCAAGTCATCTCATTTTCTGCCAAGACAAGAAAAGCAACAATAACAAAACTCCCCCTTCCTAAAAGTTAACAGGAATCATCAATGGAGATAGAGACTACCCAAATTCAAATTCGAAAAACTTTTCGTTAATGGGCAACAACACTTCCAGAGCAATTATCAATTTTTTAAAGGGGAAAAAATGACTTTTCATGTATGAAAGGAGATAAATGACTATAGAATGTTGATGTTTTCTCTTCAAATACAAAAATAGAAGAAGAAACCTGCTTGTTATGGGATAGAGGGTGGGGGGGGGGATGCATTGGGCATCAGCCAGGATTAGAAATGATAACTGTAACTTGACACTAGAGGGAGCTGTTCCCTTATTGTCAAAGCTCTCAAGGCAGGGTTGACTGTCCTAGACTTCAGTGCTTTACATTACTATAATTTCATTCCAGACTGATCTCATTTAAAACCTCCTCTTCTCTCCAATGATCATGTAATTGGGGCTCCTCTTCTTTAATTTCTCTATTAGCTTTACGCTTAACCCTTAAAGTTATTCCCTAAAAGCTTAACCTGTCTCTCCTTAGTTTCCCCTTTCTCCCTTTAACTGTCTTTGTTTCTCCGTCTGTCTGTCTCTTTTTCTCTCTCTGTCACTCTCTGTCTCTCTCCATACCTGTGTCTTTTTATCCT